TTTTTTTTTTTTTTTCTGGTTCAAATTTGAAAATCCAGATGCAGCAGAAGCCAAGCGTATAAATCCAGCGGCTCCTCTCTCTCTTTCTCTCTCTAAACCCTCTGTCCTCACAATGTGGAAGAAGAAGCTCTATCATTCTACACAAATCTCAACAATCCATGCTCGCACGATAACTTCAGCGGATTTCAGTCCACCGAATTTAATTTCCTGCTGTTGTAATCCTTCGACCTTCAATTTCTCCTCTTCGTCGTCTTGTTTACTTGGCAGGCCCAGAGGAAGAACATTTTATTCAGCGAGAAATTTCATTTTCCCAGCTTCGAGTAGAACACTTACTAGAGATTATGCAAATTCGTATCTGAAAATTGAGAGCTTTTTCTGCTCGCAATCAAACTCTGGCCTGAAATCGCACTGCTGGAATTGTGGTTCTGAGCCTGACAACGCAACGCCGTTCCTCTTCTGCCAGGCATGTCGCAGTGTCCAGCCGGTTGATGAAACAATTGATTATTTCCAAATTTTTGGACAGTGAGTGTATTTTCAATTTATATATCTTTTTTTTTTACTGTTAGTTATGGAGTTTGAATTTCGGTGAATATTTTAAGAATAACTGTCCTCAGCATCAGTATATAGTGTTTGTTGTTCTTTGTACAGTTTCTTGTATTAAAAAATTGATAAGGGAGCTCATTTTGGCACTAGGGGAAGGGAATATAAACTTGAGGTGGATAAATTGGAAAAGAAGTACAAAGACTGGCAAAAGAAGCTGCATCCCGATCTAGTTCACTCAAAATCTCAGGTTAGTCTTGTCTTTGAACTGCTCTGTAAAGTTCTTTATTTATTTATTAATCTTTCTTTTTTTGTCAAAAAATTGTTCCGTAAAATATCATACATTTCTGGACTTACTAATGTGGATGACTAGAGAGAAAAAGAGTACGCTGCTGAACAATCTGCTCGAGTTATAGATGCATATCGCACACTCACTGATCCATTGTCGAGGGCAATATATATTGTAAGTTCCTTAAATTTGTATAAAACAGCACTAGGTACAATCTGTTTGGATAGATCGTGTTCTCAATCGATTCCTTCAAAAACAGAATCTTATTTTATTAGGGAATATTTTTATCTTCTTAATATTATTCTGTTCATTTTTCCGTAATCGATGACTTCAAAATATTGCTCAAAAATTCATTTTACATTTCAAAAAAGGAAATAAAAGAGGGCATCTGGAACCTTGATGTTTCACTCTACATTTGGATGAATATGAGGCTTTGATAACTTTAATAGTCATATTAGGCTCCTTAATTTAATTTGTATTGTTTATTAGTAATTAAAAGCTGTCAAACTATCCTTATGTCTCTTGTTATGTCACTCATAGCTGATAGAACTATCAATCTTTATATGTTGGGATTATTAAGTCTATGTTTTCAATTAGGTTTTGTTTAGCATGACTTTTTTTCTTCTTTTCTCCACTCGGTTCCACTCGTTTTCCATATAACTATGCAGTTGAAATTAGAAGGTGTGCTTGTTGATGAAGAAGAAAGGATTACAGATCCTGAGCTACTTGCTGAGGTAATTTTATACACCATGAAGCGTCTCCTTCTGTGAATTCCTTTTTGTCGCATTCTGTTAGTAATTTTTTTAGTTTTTGCGAAGTGAAGATTATGGCTTGGAGAATTCAGTGACACGAGGCAATTTGTTTCCTCATTTCATTCACGGGTTATTTAGCACAAATTAATATTTTGGATTGCAAAAATCATTTAACTTGTTGAAATGTTTCGTGGTGTATTATTTCCACTTTCAAAGGTCTTGTACTCTAAGCTCATATAGGCTTGAAAAAAAAAAAAAAAAACTAATTTTCAAGTTTTATTTGGAATGAGCTATGGCAGATCATGGAATTAAGAGAGGCTGTTGATGAGGCTGATGACAGTCGGGCATTAAATGAGATCCAATCGCAGGTACAATCTGAAAGCCGTTAAATAATCTATATACATGTGATTTTATTAATTTGTCATGGAAAGTAACTAAAATTAGTTATCAAAAAAAATAATAGATGTAACGAAGGGCTTATCAGCAATATTATTCCAGAGGTAATAAATTCATTTCCATCTTATAACTGTGATGTGGATATGCGAGTTGCCCGTGCCTTGCAGTTAAGGGAAAAACTGGTACATTTGGCCGATTCATTTGAAGAAGCTTATCAAAATAAAAACTTTGAAGATGCTCTTGCTTCAATCCGTAGGATGACTTACTATAAACGTGCTAGCGAAGAAATTGTGAAGAAGGTTTAATCCAAGTTACTTCTATTCGTGCAAATTCAAATGGCATTGGTGAAAATAAAGAAATGCTCGGGAGCATGTAAGTTTATTTAGTGTCCCTCAAACTCTCTATCTTTTGTTGAACTACGATATATTAGCTATGGATGGATCATGTGAAAGTGGTGAAATAATTTTGTTCAGTTAGAAATTTTTACTGTGAAGACTATGAGGTTATGACATGGATGAACTAGCATGAATGTCGATTGTAGTAAATAGCTTTCGCCATTCTTACTGTGAAACCTATGAGATTATCACAAGGAAACTATGACCATGTGTAGCTTTCACCAGTCTTATTCCTTATGTGAAAATAGCAACAGCTAATCAATGGAGTACATAATCTAACAAGTTTGTTTGTAGAAATAAAGATCATAAGCATTTTAAAAAATATTTAAATACTTCCAAGGATCACAAATGTAATTAGATCATTTTCAGTTCTTTACTCTATAGTGTAATTAATCAAAATTTGTATTCATTCTAACCCTTTACTCTATATTTTTTACTCTAATTCGGACATTGGGGGTTATGGAGGTTATGGATGGCTCCATAAGGGAGCCATCCGATGGCTCAATAGAATTTCTGGCCTCTTGAGACTATCGCTAAAATTTGTTCGACCCTTCTAGTATTTTCCCTTTTTTTTTGTTTAATTATTTTATTTATTTTTTATTTTTGAAAAGACTTAAATTAGTGGAACCTTCGTATTTTGTTGTATTTTGTTGAACATAAACAAGTTCGAACGAGCTTTTGTTCGCATCGCTTTCGTTTGCAGCTATGGTTTTTCAGTAAATATCGTGCTGGCCTGTTTTGTTGGTACGCTTCATTTAATTTAATAATTATTGTTTGGGAATTATAAATCTATAAACATAATTAATTGACAGAAACTTCTTTTTTTTTTTTTTTTTTTTTTTTTCTTTTTTCGTAACAGCAAACAAATAATTGTTTCACCGAAGACGAGTTTTTCTTTTTCAATAACAATCGACCAGTTATTGGACAGCAAATAACTCTTTTAGACGAAAAATTAACAATGGCAAAACCATCACTCGATCAACTTCCAATTTTCATTGAAATATAAGTCAAAAATATTAGAAAATTCCACAAAGCTAAAAAATAAAAATAAAAAGAAAAAAATGCAGAGTTCTTACTTAAGAGTTATTGAATTAAAAAAAGTTTGATCTTTAAGGAGATTTTACAGTCCCGTTACGAAATCATTCCGTCATGGTTTGTAACCGTTAAGTCATCATTAAGTCATCATGTAACCGTCAGGGATAGTTGATTTAACAATAACAAACCCCGACAGAATAATTTCGTAGCGGTACCGTAGCATTTTCCAATCAACATATCGGTTTTTGGTCCACTCTTTATGTTCATGGCGGGCACGTTGATAAAAGGAGAAATGAAAAGAAATGTTGTATTCTTTAACAACAATTTATATCGTTGAATATGAATGATATAAGTTTTCTATCCACTAATTAAAAAATAATACATTCGCTTGTCTCATGTTTTTAGTACGATTTTTAAAATAAAAGTCAAATAATTCAAACAAAATCGAGTAACTTTTAATAATTATTTCTAAACAGCACTTTATAAAACACGTCCAAAATCATCAATTATTATATTGTTATTTTTTCTCCCAAATCATAATTAATAACTCTTTTACATCATATTATTTCACATTATAAAAATTATTAAATCTGTCACTATACTCTCTACTCGTTTCTCCAAAGTTTATTTTATTTTTTTTTTGGTACAAAAAGGAACCAGAAGGCTTAAGGTAGAACTTGTATACGAAAGCCGATATTATCATGATCAATCCATGACCTTAAACCAGGAAGAGGAGAAGAGACTCGATGCACCCCAGTCGGGTAGGAAGTCGCCACACTCGTCGTATGGTCAAAATTCTCCAAAGTTTATTTTATTTATATAATTAATTTTTCAAATAAAACAATATCCATCGTCACCCATGAAATTTCGTGTACGAAACAGCGCAGTGCGTGTATTTTCCCTGCGTATATATATATTCTACCTACTTCCTTCTGTAACACAGCACACGTAAAAATCTCACAGAGCTTCAATTGATTTTGTTTTATTTATTTATTTTTTTCATTCGCCTTTTTCTAACTGAAGAACGAACAGTTGAGTGCTGTTCCAGAGGGGAAAAAAAATGGAGATATTTTACTATATGGTGTTTGGGGCGTTGGCGGCGGTGGTGGCGGCGTTGGAGCTGAGCAAAAGCAACAAAGATCGGATTAATACTTCTACAGCTTTCAATTCGTTCAAGAACAATTACTTGCTCGTTTACTCTCTGATGATGGGTAGGTGAATTTGTAATCTGATCTTAGATCTGTGCCCTTTTTTTTTTTTTTTCTTCAATTGATTTGTTGCGCAATTTGGAGTTGATCGATCTCGGTCAATTGGATTGAGCAATAAAATGCTGATGAATTGTTTGTCGCTTTGGTTGCGAGATGCATTTGCTGTGAAATGTTTTGATTGTGTAGTAGATACTTGTTACAATGACAGTCTGTGGTGTTGAATGGCGTTGGAAAGTGTGAATGCAGGTTTATGATTATTGTTATGTGCATTCGAAGGTTTTATGTGTGATTTGATGCGTGGTAGATCGTATGAATGGGACAAATGCTCTTGTTTTTTTGGATCTGACTATGTGATGTGATTTTACCGATGCTCGAGAGGGAGTTTCTGGAGATCTGGCTATTTGCTGGGTCTGTATTTGCTTAATTCATGTTGAGAGTGGTTTATAAAATTCCAGAATTGTGGGTTTGATCGAGTGAGGGTGATTTTTGTTGCTTGAATATGTTGGTTTGATATAATACTGTGAAGTGAGAGAAATGTATGATCCGGTGTATTGATTCAATTATATGATATATATATCACTTCTTTCAACTGTTGAAGAATTAATGGAAAGGTATGGCCCCTTTTTTAATGCGTTCAGTCTTGTAGAACTGCTTTCATCAATTATCCGAAGTTATTTCAACCATCTTAAGGAATTATGTTAGTATGATCCGAATTCTGGTGCGCTACTGTAAAATGATAATTTGGCCTTTTGTGCCACGATTTCCTTGATTCTCTTTTTTGTTTTGAAATTTATTATTCATTTGGCTTATTGCGAAGTTTTTGCTTTAGTATTCTTCCTTTGCTATTTGTTCCCTAGGTCTGTAATAAATATAATACCACAATGGGGAAGATTAATTCAAGCTAATAAATATTTATAATCCTGTTAAAAAAGAATCCCATCGCTATGAATTGTGCTGCCCTTTTCTATTTATGCTTGTTTTTTAGCAAATTTCTTACAGTTTCCTTGTAATTCTGCTAGCTTTGTAATCAATGATGTTTACTTTTGCTGATTGTTTATCCACATGGGGAAAATAGCCGGTGACTGGCTGCAGGGACCATATGTTTACTACCTTTACAGTACTTATGGTTTTGGGAAAGGTGAGATTGGACAGCTCTTTATTGCTGGATTTGGGTCTTCCATGTTATTCGGAACTATCGTTGGATCTCTAGCAGATAAACAGTGAGATATTATCCTAAAGTGATGTTGTTCCATTTTTCTCCATGGAATGTCTTCCCTCCCTTTTGACTTCTGTGAGAAACTGCAGGGGACGGAAGAGAGCATGTGTCACTTACTGCATCACGTACATACTGAGCTGCATCACCAAGCATTCTCCCCAATACAGAGTTCTGATGATCGGCCGTGTTTTGGGTGGTATTGCAACATCCCTCTTATTTTCTGCTTTTGAGTCGTGGCTTGTGGCAGAGCACTTCAAGGTGATTTCTTTTTGTGCATAATTGTGTACCATTTTGTGCACACTCATAAATCTAGTAGTGCTTTATCAAATTGGAATAGTTTATGTCCTCGCCATGTTGAAACTTTTGCAATTTAAATGTACAGAATGATATTTTGATATGATTATTTTTGTCTTTACATCCAGCAATATGAAATTTCTATACATCTTCACTTACTATTTTTATACTATTACAATCTCCAAGAGACCTGTAGCTCATTGATATCTCTTTATCTTGAACTTTTGAGTTTTCATGTTGCTGGTATGGTGCCTTTTATCTTTGTTGAAGTTTGCTCATTACCGAATATTTTCTTTATTCTTATGCACCCAGTTCTCATAATGATTGGTTACATGTGAGATATGTACTTATTGCTTTTTCTTTTATTCATATATGCAGAGGGGTTTTGATCAACAATGGCTCTCATTAACTTTCTCCAAGGCAATCTTTCTTGGCAATGGTCTTGTTGCTATTCTATCTGGGCTCTTTGGGAATTTTCTTGTTGATTCCCTGAATCTTGGGCCTGTATCTCCTTTTGATGCTGCTGCCATACTTCTTTCTATTGGGATGGCAGTTATATTATCATCTTGGACTGAGAACTATGGAGACCCTTCAGAGAACAAGGATTTGCTTACTCAGTTCAAAGGTGCAGCAGTGGCTATTGCTTCAGGTATTTCTGATCCTCCCATTTTGGTCGACACTTAGGAAGACGATTGCATGTAAATAGATTTAGTCAAAGCTGTGGCACCACTTGGTTACCATTTTATTTTGTATTTTTAAATATGAATGATTAATCTTGAGAGGGTAAGTTGAAATGTAGTTACAAACGTTACCAAAAAAATAAAAAAATAAAAATTGAGATATAACTTTTAATAGTTAAATTGAGGGAAAATTGTTGATCGGATTTTTTTTGGAGGAAAATACACGGTTGAGGTATATATGTGGGAGAACAAAGTGAAAGTTGGTGAATAGTGAAATTTTTTAATATTTCCTAAAAATCTCATTATTTTCCCTACAAAGAAAATATTAAAATGAGATTATTTCCTATTGCATTCTATAGGTCTAGGTTTCATCTGCACGTATAATTGAGCAGAAATTCAGACCTTTTGAACACTTTAAAAATTCCGATCAACCTATCTTGTGTTCTCTTCTTTTCTTTATTTATTTTCTTTTTGGTGAATACTTTTTTCTATTTCCATGATCATCAGTTCTTTATGTCCTTTTTGTGTAACTTGATTCGAAATGATACTCATATTGTCAGATGAGAAGATAGCATTGCTTGGTGCAATACAGTCTTTGTTTGAAGGCTCGATGTACACTTTCGTGTTCCTCTGGACACCTGCCCTAAGCCCGAACGATGAGGATATTCCCCATGGTTTTATCTTTGCAACTTTCATGTTGGCATCAATGTTGGGAAGCTCAATCGCAGCCCGCTTACTGGCCCGCAATACAATTAAAGTGGAGAGCTACATGCAGATCGTGTTTGTTATTTCTTCTGTCTCCCTTTTGCTCCCCATACTGACTAATGTATGCTGAACGTCAATTTATTTTCTTGATTTGTGTTTATTTCGATTATATCTAATCCGAATCACTCCTTTTATGGCAGTTCTTGGTGCCAACTTCTCCAAAGGTAAAAGGGGGTGGCATCTCGTTCTCGGGCAGTCTTCAGCTTCTTGGCTTTTGCACTTTCGAAGCATGTGTTGGACTCTTTTGGCCTTCGATTATGAAGATGAGATCCCAATACATTCCTGAGGAGGCCCGAAGCACTATAATGAACTTCTTCCGCATCCCACTAAATATCTTTGTTTGTGTCGTGTTGTATAATGTAAGTCTTCTGGATTTCGCTACATTATTATCTATCATCCACATGTTAACAGCCATAAACAGCTTGCGGTTTGTTTGTCTCTGCATTTTTAAGCCCAGATATGGAAAAAAGTGATTTATCGTTTGTTTAATGCTTAGCATCTCTTATAAGTTCTTAACACCATAGCATGGTTTTTGATTATTTACTAGCTATTGCTAGATTTAATCATAGTCTGATTTTTATTTTTTATTTTTTTTCTTCAGGTTAATGCATTCCCCATCACAATAATGTTTGGTATGTGCTCCATATTCCTTTTTGTCGCCTCCATTTTGCAGAGGCGCCTCTCAGCAATCGGAGATAAGCCAAGTGAGTCATAGTTCCTGAATCTGCATATTTTCTTGCATGATGTTTACAAAGATTGCCCTTGATATTTGACGAATTACAGAAAAAAAAAAAAAAAAAAAAAAAAAAAAAAAGAACAAAAAGAAAGAGAAACTAACTCTAACATTACAACAAATACAATACTATCCTGAGATTTGATTTAGTTCTGTTTGATCCAGAGGCTTGTTGTAATTTTATTATGAATGGGACTGGGATTTCTGTAATTTTT